CATATTGCCCAGCCCGAGTGCGAAAACAAACTCATTTCAAATCATTTTTCATCTGTTTGTAGATACATTGACATTTTTGTGTGTATATTTGTGAAGCTTTGAGTGTGTTACGTTGTTGTCCCAAGTTATTTCATTTATACACTGGGCATCAATAAGAGTTTAAGTCAAACTGGAGACCAGCATGATTGGATTTCATTTGAATTATCTTGCTTAAGTATATGTACGACAAGGTGAGGCCAATTTTTCTTGTTTTCCATTTGCAGTTCCTAAACATGGCAACTCAAAGTGCTTCACGAAACACGAAAAACATTCAAATCACACCAGGCCCTACAATCATAAGATAATCACAGTACATTAAAGAGTGAAGGTCCAATACTTAAGTTTTATGCACAGCTAAATAGGACTGCAAATTTAAGTTAAACTCTTATACTGTCCTCTAACCTGTATTTGAACATTGTTAGAGTAGAGGCCTGTCTCACATTTTCAGGCAGACTGTTCCAAATTTTACCCGCGTGAATTTGAAATGCCCCTTGTTTGGTCCCGACTCTGGGCCCCAGCTGGAGGCCAGTCCCTGTGTAGACTTGCACACAAGCAGATCTGCTTTAATTTCTGTTCTCTGAGCCACAGGAAGCCAGTGCAGGGACCTGAGAACTGGACTAATGTGATCATAAGTCTTTGTTTTAGTCAGGACTCATATTTGCGGCATTTTGAAAATACTGCAAGTGTTTTACAACTTGTTTTTAGCCCAGTGAATGTAGTTGCACTGCTCACCAACAGTATTCTTCAGAGTTTCAAAACACTTTCCTCATGACCTTTCATCTTTTCATGCAGAGCAAAGAACCTAAAATAATAATGCGTTTCACCGACTGATAGATGAGTTCATAATTAAATGTTTCAAACTTTTTCTCAATAAATTTCTGTAATTGTAAACATAGCATCTTTAAACCTGTTCCCATTTCAATAAACATTGTTGGTTTATCTTTACTTTGGGAGCCTCAAACCGTGTATGCAGTTGTGAGGTGAAATTGGATCATGGCCTGCTTCACATTAACACTGGATAAGAATTTCGCACCTGCCAGACATTTCCACAACACGACTGCATGCAGACAGGCTGTATGTAGGACGCACTGGGCCACTCATGTTTCCAGAACATTTGTTTTAGAGTAAGAAGTACCTTAAATATTAAGCAAATATTTTAAGTTGAATATTCTTTCTTTCAAAAAGCTGAAACAAGATCTGGTCTCAATTTGGAAGTTATGGCTCTCCTCTCTTTCTCCCATAGCTGCCTGTCTTGTCCAATAAATCTTTCATACATTTACTACACAAATTATTCTCTCAAATGTTCAGTGCCGTTGTCAAGCTGTGCGTTTGCTGTGAGTTGTGTGTTAGCATGGCAGCATGTTTTTGCTCTCCCTTTTCCCATGAGCTCACCGTCTGTGGACAGCCTGTCTGAGTAATGGGCATGTCTGCTTCTTTGGCTCGGCCTGTCGGAGAACAGAGGGGATTCTTCTCCATAATACACTTGGCTCATATTGAAAGAAGTCAATTAGATAGTAGGTTGACCTCTGCTTAATTAGCTGCTTGTAATGTTCAAGTTTTGGTTAGATTCAGTGGGAGTGAATGTCCCCAGAGAAGGTCCTGAAGTTCATATGTCACGTAAACCAGCCGAGTGCTTGTCTGGGGGTATGATGAGGATCAGCTGTGGTGGGTCGCAGAGGTTAAATGGTGCTGTTACATGGTGTTATGGTGTGTGTGCTTAGGTCTATTAGCACACATAATACTCATTCTTACCGTCAGAAGGATCACCTCTCCACCGATTCTGTCTTGTGGTGCTACCAGATTTTCCAAATGTCTTTTATGGAGAAAAGCAGGTGGTAGAAGCTCCAGTTATCAAACAAATATTGTGAATTATGTTGACCACACGCTGGGGAGAGCACTATGTATTAGTTACAGAATACGGCATCCGAACAATCGGATCATGTAATGCAAGTTTCAAAATATAGAGTGCTGTATTCAGAATATTTTGAATACCTTTAATGTTCATATTATCATTGAGTAAAAGTTGGGGTTTGGAATATTATCGCTATAACGAGTAACAATTATTTTTCTTAATTGTTTTTAATTTTCTCTGCGCTGCCTCTGTACTGTACCAGGGTCTTCCCGTTGTCCTTCCCTGCTTCCTGTTGTGCACCTGCTCGCTCCTGTTTGTTAAGTATTTGTATTTCTGTTAGGAATTAGTAAAGGGTAAAACACTATATGCACCACTAAAGATATTTTTTTTTATAATCTTTGAATCCTAAATTACATGATGAATGCACGATATATATACCTTTCTGATTTTATGAAGTAAAATAAATAACCATCAATAGTATGTGTAAAGGGAATACAGTTACTCAAAATCAGTATTCTGATTATTTATTCTAAAGTATCTATGAACTGCAGCAGCAGACAAAATCATGTCTCTTTAGGCTCTCCTTTAGTGCGGCCTGAATGTATATATTTAGCAGGATCAACTCGCTATTGTAACCGTATCTTCCCGTAACAGTTCATACACATGAGAAGAGACATTCACGGAGTGTTAGTTCAGGTGCCCATTCCTCTTCCTCCAAACCAGCCATCAATCCTTGGCCTTCCTGGTGCCATAATAAGCAGCTAGTATCTCCTCCCAAGCCCTCATTGGTGGTCAGGGAGGTGTGCATGCGGCCTGGGAACCTGCCTTTGTCACCGGACTGTATAAAACGGTTAGTGCGAGGCGGTGACCACGGGCATTCTGCGGCGCTCCTAAGTGTATCCTACGCGGCCGACTTTAGCTGAGGTCAGGACTTCCTCTTCAGCCTTCCCAGAGCGCGTATAAAGTTACTACACACATACATTCCATCACAACTATTTCAGAGCAATGTTTTTATGCCTCATTTTGGACTCCAGACCAGACCTGTAAAAGTTTTATTTCAGGCCATGTTGTAATGCCCCAGGAGCGCAGCGTTGATAAGAGTTGATAAGTGTATAGTAGCATAAAGGCTTTGATATGGGGTTGTCGGGTCCAAGTTGATCAAAGCTGTTTAGCCCTTGTGGTTTTGGAGTTCTGTGCAAAGTTATTTCCACTGTTTGTTTTTTTGTGAACCGGCCTGACCTTACGCCGCCGTTGTCAAGGTCTTTGTTTCAGTGTTGGATTCATTTAGAACTGTGGATGTCACAATGTCATGTCATTAGGGATGTAAACACAATTAAGAGACGTTAGATGGAGGAATTGGCTTTTTTGCCTCGAGATAGAAATGCATTATCAGCCACACACAGACACGGTTGTTTAGATTTATCTAAGTGTGCTGGTTTTACATGATTGGCTTTAGGAGGACAAATCATTTACTCGCTTACACAAAAACACATTGTGTTTTGCTAAATTGTTGACTTTTTCTCCATGTTTTTCCATCCTCCGTAACAATACGTTTTTAGAACGATACGATCCGTATCGATATGAGAGCAAATGATTTAGATAAAAAAACGATATCTTAATTTTTTAAACAATACGATTCAACACGATACAGTAGATTTTGAATTATATATCGATACATTAATATTGGCTTTTTCTGTAAATACACTTATTACAGTAATTCAAACTTAGAAATCTAACTCAGATTTAAAGTGCTGAACAAGAAATACAACTTTTTTACAAATATAACAAACATTTATTTTACCCAAGAGCTAACTTGTAAATAACTAATATGAATAAAAAATAAAACAGATGTATAACAATGCAGTGCTTAACAAATGTTTACAGCACCACCTAAGTGCTTAAGATTAAATAATATATGTTTTTAATTCTATAGTGGTTAAATAAGTAAGAAGCTGGATTTGATGGAAATAAGTCCAGACTTAACAAGGACTATTTCGTTATTCCAATTGATTATTTTCTTAATATTAAATGAAAATGATACTGTTAATTTGAAGTTCTTGATTTAGTATTACTAAGTTCTTTATGTTGTCATGGTGGTCCAACACTTTTGTTGAGCAGTGAGCACTGTACATTCTAGTGCCTTTACCTCGTATAGAACACCTTTTTGGTCTCCGCTCTTGCATCGTAGTTACTGTGTTCGGGTGACTCTTCTGCTTTGCCAGCGATTCCGTGGCGTCGGTACAGATGTGAAGAGAAGCGTAGCGAGAAGACTAGGTCTACAGAGCCTATCGTTTTGTCAAGATTGCCCCCTATTTTTTTTATTTATTTTTTTACAAAACCCGAAGTATCTCCTGACTGACGAACGCACATTTGGAGGTTTAAAAGCCTCGCTGCTACCGCTGCAGCCATTATCCATGTTGTTGTTGTCGTGAGCTTGTGACATAAATTTACAGCGCCGCTGCAAAGGCTTGTTGATGACACGGGCGAAAAACAAATTAAATTTGTTTAGATTAACATTCAGACAAAAAAAAGAATATATAATTCGATTGCACTTTCTATGATTTAATGTAAGAACTATATTGATACAATCAACATTTTTTCCATTTAAAACGATGTAGTGTCTGTGCGGCTAGGATCGATGCCATATAGCTGAGCGCCGATCGATGTAGTGGATCGTAGGGGAGACACATCGATAAATCAATTAAATAGATGTATCGTTACACCCCTAATGTTTATCCATATATTATGTACTTATCTCACGTTCTAAAACATGGAAAGCCAAAGGGACTCTTCTCAACCTTGTGTTTAAAAGAAGACAATGGGTGCATATTATATCTTTAAAACTTGCTTAATGGAGCTCTATAATAATGTACATGATCTATGCTTCTTTTGCTCGTTTTAATAAGAGCAGTGTTTAATCTGGTTTTCTTCCCTGAACTCTCGAGTCATTAGATGTTCTTCCGCCTCGGCCTTGTTCCCTTGATAGTGTTTCTTATCTTTTTAATATCACCGCTTCCTTTGTCCGGACCTGTCCTCGGTTAGAAATAAAGGCGATGTGCTCCCTGTCATGACTCATCAGATAAATATATTTTCATTTTGTCCATTCCAGGTGGAACAGTCAAAGGTTCTGGTGAAGGAGGGAGGGGTTCAGCTGTTACTCACCATCGTTGACACCCCTGGCTTTGGCGACGCCGTCGATAACAGCAACTGGTGAGCTCAGTCAGATACTGTACCTTTCATGTCTTTCCAAAGTGGACCTCGCATACAGATACAACTTTTCACTGCTTTGGACCCTGTTCTAGTGACCCTGTGTCATTCACATACTCAAATAAGTTTTAGGGGTGATTCTTGCATGAGCCATTGATAATCTTCCACCTTGTTCTCTTCGAGACATGCCTACTGTACAATTCACATACGATTCAGCACAGATTTTGGGGCCTATAATGTGACCACGCTTTTGCATTGCATGTTGTTGCATAAACAGGAAGAAGGCGATGCACTCCTGTCTTTTAGATCAATAGATCCAATGTTTATAATGTGATGCCTATTTTATAATAAATGACTACAATTTCTCAACATCAACATTGTAATGCACTGTACTTGCATGAATCGTGTGATTAATGTAGTAAAACCTTGCTTAAAGCTCCCATATTTCTCCTGTTTCACAGTCCATCCTTAGATAATTTGGGTGATACACCATACAACACTCAAAATGTGTTGTATGGTCATCTTAACATGTATGAAGATCAAATACCACTGTAATGATGTTTTAAAGCATAGAAAAGTCAAAAAGCGTTTAAACCTGGACCACACAAGTTCAAAAGTATATAATAATAATATTAAATATAATACATCGTATTTATATAGCGCTTATAAAGTAAGATAGATGTTCCTTTGTGCCAGAGTGTGAAAATGTTGATAGTTACAGAGTACATCCAGGACCGTAGGCTTCCCAGGGCTAGAACAAATCGTATTAAATGTTCATTTGTAATCTGTGCTGTTAATCTTTTGAACAGACACTTTGAAAGATTTCCACATGTTTCCTCTTGATTAAGCTGAGCCTGATATGTGTGCTATACTCACTGTAATGATTGTATTATTATTATAAATTTTACTGCTCCACCACATGCAAACCATTTTCCCCTTGGGGACAAAGTTTTTGAGTTGAGTAGTAAGAGCTCACAGGGAGCACACAAAATATACAATATAAGTAGCTGCTGTGCTTCTTGGCTAGCTATAAATGCTTCAGTTGACAATCTGCCGTTTATGCCAAATGTGCCGTTTATGCCAAATGTGCCGTTTATCTGTCCCTCAGCTGGCAGCCGGTCATCGACTACATCGACAATAAGTTTGAGGATTATCTGAACGCAGAGTCGCGGGTCAACAGGAGGCAGATGCCCGACAGCCGCGTTCAGTGCTGCCTCTACTTCATCGCTCCGTCAGGACACGGGTACGTTCTGCTTCTCCCTCTGCAGCCCTAAACTTGGAGGCCTCAGCTCTATTCTCATGGAGTATCATTATCAAGAGTGGGGTGCACCTGGTTAGTGCTGTGATGGGAGACCTGTGAACTCCAGGTGCAGTGAGGAGGCTGTGGCTGTAAAGTGCCAAAAGTGTGTTGTGTCCTTCTGGCAAGACACTTTACTCACACACTCAATTCTGCTGCCACACTGATAACGGAGAAAAAAGTCTGCTCAAAAAAAAAAACCATATAATCGGCTGTAAAATTCAATACGTGCAAAGCAAATTATAAATGTAGAATTAGGAAAACGACACAAACTGAGAGCTTCTTCTATATTGTCTGTATAAACAGAACTGTTGCAGGAGACGTTTCGCAAAGAGTGGTAAACCCTACATAGAAAAATAAACCCTTTTTCCCCGAACTGAAAATCCCATAAACAATAACCCTTTTAAAAAGTGTGAGGCCTGAGATCGAGTGTGTGGTTTGCCACCAGATGTGTGCTCTAAGGTCAGCCAAAGGTCTGTGGCCACACTCTCACCCCCTGTCCTCTCACCTGTATTCTCTCCCTGTCCTCTTACCCTCTGCGCCCGCAGCCTCAAACCGCTGGACATAGAGTTTATGAAGCGGCTCCACGAGAAGGTCAACATCATCCCCCTGATCGCCAAAGCGGACACCATGACGCCCGAGGAGTGCCAGCAGTTCAAGAGGCAGGTGAGGTCACCAAAAACCCTCCAGCCGCTGTGTCTTCGGCTTTTAACCACAAGCTCAAATGTGTGTGTCTGAACACATGCTGGACGTTAGCACCACTGTGGCTTCTGCACCACCTGCTCCTTTGTTAGCCTTTTTGGACATAATGTCTAATGTAGTGTGTATTTACAAGAGACATTTATATATTTTTTTATATCCATTTTATAGTTTGCACAGTCACAAAGTAACAAACTATTAATTTACTTTGGTATATGCAGCAGAGTTCTAGAATATGCAGCCTCTCAAACCTTGTGAAAGTAAATGTTACAGTATGGTACATATTTCTGTCAGTCTATAAAAACACAAACAGGAAATGAGTGTCATATTTTACACCCGTGACTTGCTCTGCAGTTCCATGAGAATAGAGAGAGTCGGATCTCTGACATGCTCTCGTGAATGGATTCATCAAAGAGCATGTCAGCGATTGAGGTTTTACAAAATCCCAATGGGTAAATCCTCCAGCTCCAGTCCTGACCAAGCTGGGCATCAAGATCTGGAGAAGGATCCTGGACGCTGTAGTAGGTTTCCCGAGTGGCCATTGCAGGATGGGTCAAATACAGAAGACAAATGGAAGTGGTTCCAAACTTTTTAGTAAGAGCGCCACTTAAGTTCACCAGACCTGTCCATTGTAAAAAGTTTTTGCCTGGCTTCGGGCTGTTCTGAGCTTTTTAATTAGCTCTGATGGAGCTGAAATAATAAATGACCATCTCTGGCTTATCTGTCTGTAGCTGTAAACCTCGGAGGGTGGTTGACTTAGTTATTGCCATATGGGGACAATGAAGTATACCTCAGAAGAGCAGACTAAGTGCACAGGAAATGAGGTCACTCCCTTTTTGATCATGGTGATGATGTATAAAATCCCTACAGGTCTCACCATCAGTGTTTTTATTTCACTCTGTGAAGTGAAAAGAGGTGCGTTTAATTGCATAAAGCAAATGGCTTGTGCTGCAGCAACGTGTCCAAATCAAATGCTCAAAGAAAACTGAAAACTGGCTCCAAAGTGTGAGAGCTGAGGTACAGATTGTTCACTGAAACATGACGCTCTTGATGTAATGAGCGGTGTAGTATAGTCCACATTTGGCATAAACGGCAAAAACTGAGTTTGAAGCATCTGTTACATCAGAGAACTAGTATTGACACATGTTCAAAGCTTTGCTCCACTGTGTTTTGGATCAATCTTTTCTCGGGTCTAATATTGGCATTTTTAGTCCTGTATTCGCTCGCTGTATTGATTCCTTGTCCCTCTTCTTTCCATTTAATCTCGTGACAGATCATGAGAGAAATTCAAGAGCACAAAATCAAAATCTACGAGTTCCCAGAGACGGATGACGAGGAGGAGATGAAGTTTATCCGAAAAATCAAGGTGTGTAACGTTGTAATTGTTCCGCTTTCAGTCATCATCACTTCACATCAGAGTAGATTGTGTTTGTGCCAGTACCTACACTACAGTGTCTGCTTCTGTGACGACTATTGTAAACCATTCAAACTGTTTAAACTGCCACATTTGTGTGCATTTAATTTGATCTTTTTTAATAGCAGTAGTTATGTAGCAGGTGTTTAAACTAAACTAGAAAACACTTGTGGAGCGTAGACCTCCGTAAGCTTGTCAATAAAGCCCCTGGTTTATCCATCCATCCATCTTCTTCCCCTTAATCCATTACTGTGTCGGGGGGTGGCAGTCAGAGCTGCACCCAATTCACAGAGCATCAGCCCTATTGGTTTAGTTCTCCATAAATCCTCCTAGCGACCAGGCGGTTACAAAATTATTATTTTCATAAGACGCAATAGAAGTTGCTGGGCACTTTAATCAAAAATCTTGAACATAAGTCCAGGGGGCAAAGCTCTGGAAGTATTAAAGTCCTCAGCTTAAACTGAACTTGGACGGGACAAATTTGAAGCGATTTTTAAAACAAAAATAAAACAGTTAAAGGAATAGTTCACCGTTTTTACATACTGAAATATGTTCTTACCTTACCTTAGACTAGTTAATACGTACCTGTCTGGTCTTAGTCCGTGCGCTCTGTCATGCAAACGGAGCAAAAACGGGAGCACAACCGCAGCCTCCTCTGGTCACTGTATAGTACCCAAAAGGTAGCTCCCGCTAGAAGCTACCAAACTCTTCCAAGTGTTCCCTATTAAATGTATATAGTTACGTGACGTGTTACACTGCAAAGTATAGTAACACAGAAATGTAACAGTCGATTTTCTCAGCGGATAAAACGGGTACTATATTGTGAGGCGTAGTAATCTGAGGGGCGCTACGTCCGCGCACTAACTTCTCTCCGGAGACTTCTCTCTCGCTCACTTCCGTCAATAGAAGCAGCGTGACTTGTAGTACACACAGTAGCAGCGAGAGAGAAGTCTCCGGAGAGAAGTTAGTGCGCGGACGTAGCGCTCCTAACTTCTCTGCGCACTAACTTCTCTCCGGAGACTTCTCTCTCGCTGCTACTGTGTGTACTACAAGTCACGCTGCTTCTATTGACGGAAGTGAGCGAGAGAGAAGTCTCCGGAGAGAAGTTAGTGCGCGGACGTAGCGCCCCTCAGATTACTACGCCTCACAATATAGTACCCGTTTTATCCGCTGAGAAAATCGACTGTTACATTTCTGTGTTACTATACTTTGCAGTGTAACACGTCACGTAACTATATACATTTAATAGGGAACACTTGGAAGAGTTTGGTAGCTTCTAGCGGGAGCTACCTTTTGGGTACTATACAGTGACCAGAGGAGGCTGCGGTTGTGCTCCCGTTTTTGCTCCGTTTGCATGACAGAGCGCACGGACTAAGACCAGACAGGTACGTATTAACTAGTCTATGGTAAGGTAAGAACATATGTCAGTATGTAAAAACGGTGAACTATTCCTTTAATTATCCACACTTCTGACGTGAATGCAGGAGAACACATACACTCTTGGACATTGGTCTTTGAGCATTGGTCTTTGACCTGTAGCTTGGGAACTACCAATAGCTCACCACCCTCTTCTGAGAAACCCCCCAAAGGATTATTTAATGAGTAAATATAAAATTCATTAGTGTTACACCCATAAAAGTATCTATCATACAAAAAAGGCCAAAAATAATTTGGCTAAATTCATTGAACAAGATTTGCTAATAGAACACGTTATACGTTTGTTATGGATGGATGGATATCTGGGCTGGAAATCAGAATCAAAATGATTTTTATTACTATTACTATTGCATATTGTACATTACTATGTACAATATGCAAGTGCACATGGTGCACACAATATGCGCAGTAGGCAGTGCAATAAAGCAACAGCAGTAAAGTGACTTGATAGGGGACAGTAAGGTGACTTAAAGGGGCAGGGGGACAGGTTATGAAGTGTTCAAGAGTCCAACAGCAGACGGGAAGAAACTGTTCTTGTGGCGGGAGGTTCTAGTCCTGATGGACCGCAGCCTCCTGCCCGAGGGGAGTGGTTGGAACAGTCCATGTGCGGGATGAGAGGGGTCGGCTGTGATACAACTGGTTGTTTTAAGAATATCCTAATGTCAAGATAAAAATTGCTACATTGTAGCACAGTATTTTGTGGTCTAAAAAGAGTAGCGCTCTGCCAGCGCTCTGGAAGAGCAAAGGTTGGCGAGACGTGCTCAAGAACTAAAGCTGGTTCACTATTCTTCACTTGCTGCGATGTAAAAGCAAGTAAGTGTAGACTGGTCCACAAGTGACTTAAGTCACTTCCTTCCTTTGAGACGACTCTGTGACTCTTAAGAGGACTGTTGCCTGTCACCTGGGTTGAACAGAATCTAGTTACTAATAAGTATGACCTTAAACTTAATCTTAAACAATTCTAACTTGACCGAAAGCTCTTTATTAACCCCTTTTTAACCTCTGCACACGCCTGTCCCCATACCATAATACTACAGATTCTGGAAGGCACTATTTTCAGACTTATCCCTGAACTCTCAAACTGTTGTCCCCCTCCTTTCTCTCTCTCTCTCTCTCTCTCTCTCTCTCTCTCTCTCTCTCTCTCTCCCCCCCATTCACCCTCTCTCTCCCCACTCCCAATCTCCCTCTCTCTGTGTTTCTCTGCACAGGACCGCTTACCCCTGGCCGTGGTGGGCAGCAACACCATCATCGAGGTCAACGGAAAGCGTGTCCGCGGGAGGCAGTATCCCTGGGGCGTGGCCGAAGGTGAGAGGTCAAATGCTGATCTGCTATATCTGCTCCTCATCGATGCTCAGTGCCCTGTCCAGTCACAAACACAATGTTTGCTCTCTTATCGAGTTATCGAGCGTAATGGGACGCATGTGCTTCCGTTTTAGCCTTTTCCGCCAATGATTGATTTGAGCCATGGCCGCGATCACTGTCAGTTTGTTTTGGTGCGGAGTAGTGCGTGCCTACGAGACATGAGATTAAAGTCTGTGGATTTGTAATACTGGTAGGCTACTTTTATTTTTATCATTCAAGTTTTTTCTGACTTTTCATTCCTTTTTAAACAACATAAGCAAACATGGAATGAACTTTGCAGAATTAGGGGCTGTTTTCACGGAGATGCTGCGTCAATAAAACAGCAGAGGATTGGCTTTTCGTTCACACGGTGTTTCAGTGGGTTGAAAAAAAGTTGTGTAAAGAAAAAGGTGTGAATTCTCTAGCTGCAATGACCTCACCACTTCCCCGCCGAGAACAAACATAGACAACAACGGCGGCGAATGAACTAATGCTATGTGTGCTTCTATCGTTACACGGAGGAGCAGATCTACGTCCGTCCAATTGAAACAACCCAAAGCTGTACTTTGTTTCCATTGTTGCTGTTGATGATGGGGCATTCTTTCCCGTCTTTGCGGTGGCCTGAGGAAGATGTTGTTGAGGAAGTGGTTATACTGGCGGGGATCGCGCGTGTCGTAATGCAAAGTTCCATTGCCCACAACTGCGACACTTAGCCACCATGAAGGTCCTGCAGTGGATAGCAAGAAGGTCCTGGGTTCGAATCCTGGTCAGAAGAGGGCTTGTCTGAGTGAAGGTTAAATGTTTTCCCCGTGTCTCCCCATGTTTCCTCCAGGTGCCCCGGTTTCCCCTACCACCAAAAACATGTACAATAAGTCTGAATGTAATGAATGAGTGAATGGATGGTGTTGATTGAGGGCTTTGATGCGCCAGTCCTCCAACAGAATTCCCGGGAGCTGGAAACTACAGACTGGTAGAAGATCTCCAGTAGCTTGCTGCATACGTTGAAAGACCTGAGCTTTACTGAGGCATTTGTAGAACTAGATTGTCCCAACGCTAGCATAGGGTCAGAGTCAGAAAGAGTTTTGAAGTTTATTCTAGCTTTAATGCACTGTTAAAATCGACATTGAGTCTCAGTAAAAACAAAATACAGTCCAAATGATAATGTTATAAGGGCACAGATTGAGAAAATTCCTCTCTGTGTGATGTGGCTCAGTTTACAAGGAGTTCCGAGGACCAAAACAATTGGTTTTAGGGCCACATTTTTTACTCTGGGCTGTGGTCTGTGCACCCCATTTTGAAATCCTGTACATGGAGCTGGCCGCTGCTGCCGGCTCGTCACAGAAAGTGTGGACAACTGTATGCTGTAATGCGAGCTGTGTATTTTCTGCTGTGGTTTTGTATAAATATCTTGCATATCTGTGGACATAGCAGCGATAACTTCACAGCCTGTAGTTACTGGTGGAGGGACGTTCCGCTGTCCATGGGGAGGGGAGCGAATGCCGGAATACCAAACCAAAAATGTTTCTGGCCTTGTGTCAGCGTAAATACAGAGAGGGCGGGAAGCGGAGAGAGGTCTGAGAAGCTATGCAGAGTCGCGGATCCATTGGCAGAGCTTTTATCAGGGGAGCGCAGGCAGCTTTGGAGACGTCTGCTGGATCAGTCTGGATTCACAGCCACCATTGGAAAAACTAAGGCTTCATAATGAATGTCAAATTAAATTATATCATTTCATGGCTATTTTCATTCCATTCAAACACTGCAATCATTTAAAGCTGTGGTAACAAACTATTTGTTTACCAACAGAAAAGACGTTCCTACTAACAGAAGAAGTCTTGTGAAAGTGAAATGCTGTGAACAAATCAGACCACAACATTCTAACAAGCATCTTATAGAGTTGAGTGTCCAAAAAAGCACTATATAAAAGCAATGAATTCTTTTTTTTCAAGGTTGAAGGCCATGAAAGGTGAAGCGCGTTATTGACCGAATTTGTCATTTTTGAAACATTCTTTTCTTTTTTCACAGTTGAAAACGGTGAACACTGTGACTTTACAATCCTCCGGAACATGCTCATAAGGTAAGAAGTTTTCCATGTATTTAAACAAATTTATTTCCTCCTACTAAGTTTCTCCAGTCAGATTATGTTCTACACAACAGCATGTTTTCAAATAGACCACGCTCACTTCAACACTAGATGAGACTGTTGAACGTTCTTTTCCATGTCTCTCCATATATTTTCAACCCAAGAAAATAGTCCCCTTTCTAGAACATCCACCCATTTTCTTCCACTTTATCTGTTGCCGGATCGCAGAGGCAGTAGTCTAAGTAAGGCAAGGCAAGGCAAGTTTATTTGTATAGCACAATTCATACACAAGGTCAAAGTGCTGAACAAAACAAGAAAGCATTAAAATCATAAATAATCACAGAACATTAAAAAGAAAGATGAAAAAATAAAATCCCTCAGTTGTATGCACAGCTAAACAGAACTGTCTTTAACCTGGTTTTAAACATTGTCAGAGAGGAGGCCTGTCTCACATCCTCAGGAAGATTGTTCCAGATTTTAGCAGCATGAATCTGAAAAGCAGCCTCCCCATGTTTAGTTCTGACTCTGGGCACTAACAGGAGTCCAGTCCCTGTGCTCCTCAGAGTCCGGGCTGGTTCATATGGGACTAACATGTCACTAATATAGTTTGGTGTGAGGCCATGGAGAGACTTGTACACAAGCAGAGCTGTTTTAAAGTCTATTCACTGAGCCACAGGAAGCCAGTGCAGAGACCTGAGGACTGGACTAATGTGGTCGTACTTCCTGGTTCTAGTCAGGACTCGAGCTGCCGCATTTTGAATGTACTGCAGCTGTTTTACAGTAGAGAAGCCCAGTCCTCCATATCCACACACACATTTCCTCCAGCTCATCTGGGGGAAACCCGAGGCGTTCCCAGGCCAACGTGTCAAAATGAGCAAAAATAAAGCATGATATTTGTTGTGCGTAGAATAAAGGTCAGTGATTGGTTCACGTGTTTCCAGGGTAACGTGTATGAATGGTGTCTTTCAGAACACACATGCAGGACTTGAAAGACGTGACCAACAATGTTCACTATGAAAATTACCGGAGCAGAAAACTGGCAGCCGTCACTTACAACGGCGTCGACAACAACAAGAACAAGGGCCTGACCAAGTAAGTTTTCTCACACCTGCATTTCTAAAATGCAGGTATGCATATATAAAGGAGTGGCCCCTCAGCTCCATTCAGACAGTGTCCAGTGTTGTGTTCTGAAGGAGAAATGGAGGGATGTAAGGTCTGGTCTGTGACCATAGGTCTGTGTCTGCCAATAGACTGTATATAGATAGACCATGCTAATTTTGATGCAATGACGACCCTCACTTAACCAATCATATCTCGGCCCGTAGTGTCAAATGGTGACTCTCACAGCTCTTTCATATGCGAAAAAGATGCAATGTTTTCTAATGAGATGAAAGCCACATGCTGTGATCTGATTTGCTCACATTATACTTTTACTCTTTTGGGACAAACGTGTATTATCACTGAAAAACACAAAGTTAGGTGCCGCAGCTTTATTCCCTGTGTAGTGGCAGATGTCTGGAATAATGTGCTGTAGATGATCTTGCCAAATACTAACCGTGTGCTAATCCCAGGACACTCACAGCGCCACCACCTGGCCACTAATCCTGCTGCACACGTCACGCTAATGCATGGATTAATCGCATGCTAAGTGTTGTGTTTGTTTGTTTTTAGACATGACACAGGTGACGGCATGTAAGTCCTTTTCAATATGGTTTCTACACTCGCTGCTTCTCCTTTCCTTTGTCATTTCTCTCTGCTCTCTCAAAGCTCCATGTGAAATGTCTAAGTCGAGCAGATGTTGTGATTTATTTGTATAGCACATTTATGTCAGAACTGTCGCTCAATGTAACTAGGACTCCCAGAATTCTCAGACGACTATAACCCTCAGATCCAACATTGAGATTGATTCCATTCAAACCAATGCAATTCTGAGAAATTCCCCCCAAAAATGTGTCGTTTTCTAACAGATTTATTAAACTTAAGTAAATCATGAGGTTTTTCTATATTTAAATCACGTTACTAACTGCTAAAACTGGTGAATATAAGTTCAAATACAGCAAGAACAGTTTGTTAAAAGGCTAAATGCTAACTGCTGCTAGTAAACAGTGTGTTGCTATGGTAGCTAGCACTCACTCCTCTCTGGCAGAAGACCAAGTTGACTCTACTCAAGTCCAGTCCAGGACCAGTCCAGATCAGGTTGACTGCTCTAGGAGTTCTAGTGTGAAACTTTGCATCAAATCACAAGATGTTACAGGTTGAGACACGTTCAGATTTGAATTAATGAAACTATTGTGCCATATTTCCTGTTTCCTAATAGTTTCTTCAATCAATCATCCTGTTGATTTAAATACCTGTTCAGCACACTTGAACAGAGGGAATAACAAAAAGGGGTTGAATGAAGCAAACTCTAAAATTTTAAACCCTTGTGTTTATTGACCCAAAAATTTAAAAAGAAAGACATTTGCCTGCATATTTGAATCCAGGAAAAAAGGAGCCATAACAGGTTGTATATAGCCTTTTTTTCACGAGCAGATCAAGTTTCTTTGATCAATAAACAATGTATTTGTTTGATAACGTCAAAGGTAGACAATCGACATGTGATGTTTATAGCCACAGCTGATTAGCAAAGGTCAGTCCTAGAATAGTTTTAACAAATTAAGTTGCATTACATCCCATTAATTCAATTCAATGTATTGAACAAGTCAACTTACACTGCAAAAAGTGATGAAAAACAAGGAATGAGAAAATAATGCAACAATTCTTTAAATAATACTAAATGGCTTTGTCCCATTGGCAAATCTTTTTTAAGACGATTTAAACAATTATTACCTCATATTTTATCATGTTGTGTTCATGTTTGAAACCAGTCCAGTTCAAGTTCAGTTCGGACCTAAAGACTTCCTAAGCTTTCCCTCCTCTGCTTGCTGTTTTTGGTAAATCATGTTTTTAGGACCTCAATATCAAATCAAACTGCTTATTTAATTGTTTTTGTATTTCCTCCAATGTAATTAGATCTTTGTGAGTGCAATGCATACTTTTGGCCTCGGTGATCTGGGGACGTGTTTGGTGGTTCTCTTTCCTCCTCTGAACATTCCCCTCTCTCTCTCTCTCTCTCTTGACCGCTCTCTCTCTCTCTCGTCCTGTGCAAACTTTGGCTTTGTGTGTTTCTAACAGCAGTGTGTGTGTGTGTAGGAGTCCTCTGGCGCAGATGGAGGAGGAGCGACGAGACCACGTGGCCAAGATGAAGAAGATGGAGCAGGAGATGGAGCAGGTGTTTGAGATGAAGGTCAAGGAGAAGCTGCAGAAGCTGCGGGACTCCGAGGCCGAAGTGAGTCCAGTTAGAAACACTACAGTCTGTGCTTTGACCCCGTAGCACCCTCGGTTACAAATATGCAACATAAAGTTCAAATGTTGTGGCAAAAGAAGTGCGACTTTATGGTTAATGCATGAACTAAAGTATCTGTATGTATCCATGAACCCAAAGAAGCAATTATGCTACTATACCAAATTTGGTCATTGAATGCTGCTTTCCTATAGCACAAATGTTTTTTTTTTCAACAAATATTTTTATGTCTGAGTTCTACGGGGTTAAACACAAATTTGAGAGTATTTACTTTGGAATGTCATTTTCTAGAGTGTGCAATAAACTACTCTTTACTATATTAACAAGTCAAATAAGACTGGGCCGGGAGTCCAGCCTACTGCTAATGACAACAATGATTCTATTCAACAAAAACACAAATATGTTATATGATAGCTATTGCTTTTTACTATTTCTTATTTGTTGCTATAAATAAACGTGTTGAATCTCCCCTGATGTTCCCTCGCACAGTTATCACCAACCTCATAGTGTAATGAGTTTGAGGTGGGATCATTCAAACAGATGAGGCGGGGAAAGTGTTTGTGGCGATTTGTGCCCAAGAATCCTGATGTGTCTTGAGATCAACACGACTACTCTGAGATTCCAACACAATCTTATACTGTAGAAGCCTGTTCAGCACAAGTGTGATGGATTTCACTGAATATCCTGATCCTTATACGGCAAAGTTAAAGAGAGAGGTTCTTTTTGGCATATTTTTCCATGTGTAGCTGAATTGTGTGTGTGTGTGTGTGTGTGCGTACAGCTGCAGCGACGTCACGAGCAGATGAAGAAGAACCTGGAGGCTCAGCACCGAGAGCTGGAGGAGAAGCGGCGGCAGCACGAGGACGAGCGCTCCAACTGGGAGGCTCAGCAGAGGATCGTGGAGCAGCAGAAGCTAGACCTGTCCAGGTGAGACTCCAGATAGACCTCCACTCGGCTTCACAACGGTCCTCATTCAAAACAACACGGGACAAGAAATGTGTATAAAAGTGACGGGCTTTTCTTAGTAGAACAGTAGAATCCCAAATTTTTCCATATGTTTTACTATAATGTAAAATAATTGTACGACTGTAATGTTTCACTTATATTTTCCTGTATTGAAAAGGGTGAAACAACTTTAACGACTCCTCTGACTAAAGTGCAGTTTACGATCATAGCAATTAGAATTTCCTTTTTTTACTTCCTGATTGTAAAATAATTTTCACACTGAATTTGAGCCTCACTAGTGTGATGTCATCAGCGTGCGTTCTTCATCATCATCATCAAACTTTATTACAGACTCATGGTTCAGGATGAGACACACACATCACATAAAACACAAACAATGCATATAGTCACAACAATAAGCCTCACTCCTCAGAGCAAACGGCTGCACCAGCTTGTTTTCTTTAACAATCTACTTCCTGGTTTCTGCAAATCATTCATAACCTCTTGTACCATTTAAAAAAATAGATAAAAGCCATGGTCAATTTAACCATGATAAACATGCTATGTCGTCATTTAACGTCCCTCTAATTCCACCTATGGGATTTATCTCTCTCTCTGTCTCTTTCTCTCTTTCTATGTCTGTATTTCTCTGTCTCTCTTCTGTCTCACTCTTTCTCTTTTTTTTCTCTTTGTCGTTTAAACAAAGCACTTGTATTGATCCTGTACTTGTATTGAAACAGTTTTTGTTGTCACAGCGACAATTATTATCACACTGAAAATGTTTCACTGCAAATGGCAAATAAACTGAGTATAAATCTTCTCTTCCAGGACCTTGGAAAAGAACAAAAAGAAGAAGATATTCTAAAGACTTTTGCGGACTCTCCAAACAGGATGTCCTTTTGCTTCTGGACACACACATGCACCGTGGCACGCTCACCACCAGGAGGCAGTGTTGTCTGGACTCTGGCCACTTGTTTATCACACTGTCTTTACCATTCCCATTTAGTGTCAATGTTACTGCAGCCTTCACTTTCCCACATGATACAATGAGCCCTAAATATACTGTATTATTCCAACGATTATTTATTGAACAATTAGTCAAATCTTAATCCTTTCCTGGAATTTCTTCTCTTCAAGTTCCCTCGTGCAGTGGTTTCCAACCGGTGGGTCTCGAGCCCTTCCTTTACAGTATGTATCTACTACACTGCAAATAAAGTATTAAAAATATATAACACAATATTTTCATGAAAAGATATTGCCCTTGATTTAAGAAAGTATTATTAAGCTTCAATCCTAAACTAAGATTTTATTTCCCTTAATTTAAGTCCACTGAAAATTAGATCAAAACTTTTTAGCTACTTAACTTTTTTCAAATACAAGCGTTTGACCCGCCCACACAGCTTGCTGATTGGACACCATAAATTCAAATACTTGATGAACAGCTGAAACCCATTGGTCAAACTATTCTACTACAGTACATTTTACTGACGCTTATTTCAAGTATCAAAGTATATGTAGTATGAAAAATACTGCATATTTAGACAAAACTACAGGGTCACATTGTCAAATATATGTATTCTTTACTAAATCTCCTTTAACTCGACTATTTATTAAAAGATTCCAGAGTCTATTCGTTATTTAGTTCCCAATTATAGCATTGTAGTATGATTCAATGCTTATGAAACCAAACAATTACATTATTCAAACTAAATTCCGTTCTTATTTGGGTTGAGGATTGGCATTATGTGGGCGCTGGCTGGGTCTCGATATCGTTCCTGTTCAGAACCAATGAACTAGTGCTAAATATTTGGTGTAATTCCTTAGCTTGGGCATATAAATGTATATCATATAGCTTCAGTCTTTGTAGCTCCCTCTCGCTCACAATGTTAGCAACATTAGCTAACTCTTCAAGCTCCACTCAAGCGTCAAGATCCAAAACTTCGTCGACATAAGTTTAATGCCAAAACCAGCTCTCCTCAGGCACTGTTTTATATATATATATGTATTTTTTTTGGTAGATTATTCAGCTTCCTCATGTTACTCCCTCTCTCTGTGTAATGTAAATTGTTTAACTGCCGTGTTGACAGCATGCATTGTTAATTTCCTTTTTTTTTATTTCATATTGTACTGTCCCATTGCTATTGTTTTAGTTAATATTGCAAGTATTGCGTTGGATCCGCTAGTGGAAAATGACACTGCGTCCATGACTTCGCTCGCGCCGGGTGTAAAAATGTAAAGAATTTGGCAGATTTTGTATAAATTCGCATCGGTTTGAGAGATTTGACAAAGCAATTCTTACAAAGTCTGCATTCTTCGCTTCACATTTAGCACTGTTTGAACCTTGTCTGTGTTTTATAATATTTTTACTGTATAAAGTCACATAATAAAACTGTGATGGGGAAAATATTTGTACATTGAAGGTCATGTGTCGCCATGGATATGCAGAATTTGACTTTTGTTTTTTCTTATTTCCAGTTTTCTCCCCCTCAAAGAAGAGTTTTGTCATTACTCTTTGGAAAAGCCAGCCTAATATTGTCCTCTTGTGTATAAATCCTACAGGTGTTTGTGGGAAAGTTTGAGTCTAGATTTATTCAGTGTTAGTATTTTTCATTAGTTACGTTTTTTTTTAGGGTCAATATTCACACTGCTCCCAGGAACCTTCACAAACTCCGAATGCTTTTTCAAACTCTAATTATTGGTAGATTTGACTGAGAACCTTTCCAAAACAAAGGGCTGAAGTATTACAGTGCCTTTCGAAAGTATTCGGCCCCCCTGAACCTTTCAACATTTCGCCACATTTCAGGCTTCAAACAAAGATTTAAAAATTTAATTTTTTGTCAAGAATCAACAACAAGTGGGACACAATCGTGAAGTGGAACAAAATTTATTGGATAATTTAAACGTTAACAAATTAAAAACTGAAAAGTGGGGCGTGCAATATTATTCGGCCCCCTTGCGCTAATACTTTGTAGCGCCACCTTTTGCTGCAATTACAGCTGCAAGTCGCTTGGGGTATGTCTCTATCAGTTTTGCACATCGAGAGACTGGAATTCTTTCCCATTCTTCCTTGCAAAACAGCTGGAGCTCAGTGAGGTTGGATGGAGAGCGTTTGTGAACAGCAGTCTTCAGCTCTTTCCACAGATTCTCGATTGGATTCAGGTCTGGACTTTGACTTAGCCATTCTAACACCTGGATACGTCTATTTGTGAACCATTCCATTGTAGATTTGGCTTTATGTTTTGGATCATTGTCCTGTTGGAAGATAAATCTCCGTCCCAGTCTCAGGTCTTTTGCAGACTCCAACAGGTTTTCTTCCAGAATGGTCCTGTATTTGGCTCCATCCATCTTCCCATCAATTTTAGCCATCTTCCCTGTCCCTGCTGAAGAAAAGCAGGCCCAAAGCATGATGCTGCCACCACCATGTTTGACAGTGGGGATGGTGTGTTCAGGGTGATGAGCTGTGTTGCTTTTATGCCAAACATATCGTTTTGCATTGTGGCCAAAAAGTTCGATTTTGGTTTCATCTGACCAGAGCACCTTCTTCCACATGTTTGGTGTGTCTCCCAGGTGGCTTGTGGCAAACTTTAAATGAGACTTTTTATGGATATCTTTGAGAAATGGCTTTCTTCTTGCCACTCTTCCATAAAGGCCAGATTTGTGCAGTGCACGACTGATTGTTGTCCTATGGACAGACTCTCCCACCTCAGCTGTAGTTATCTGCAGTTCATCCAGAGTGATCATGGGCCTCTTGACTGCATCTGTGATCAGTCTTCTCCTTGTTTGAGATGAAAGTTTGGAGGGACGGCCGGGTCTTGGTAGATTTGCAGTGGTCTGATACTCCTTCCATTTCAATATAATTGCTTGCACAGTGCTCCTTGAGATGTTTAAAGCTTGGGAAATCTTTTTGTATCCAAATCCGGCTTTAAACTTCTCCACAACAGTATCTCGGACCTGCCTGGTGTGTTCCTTTGTCTTCATGGTTCTCTCTGTGCTTTAAACAGAACCCTGAGACTATCAAAGAGCAGGTGCATTTATACGGAGACTTGATTACACACAGGTGCATTCTATTTATCATCATCAGTCATTTAGGACAACATTGGATCATTCAAAGATCCTCACTGAACTTCTGGAGTGAGTTTGCTGCACTGAAAGTAAAGGGGCCGAATAATATTGCACGCCCACTTTTCAGTTTTTTATTTGTTAAAAAAGTTTAAATAATCCAAAAAATTTCGTTCCACTTCACGATTGTGTCCCACTTGTTGTTGATTCATGACAAAAAAATAACATTTTATATCTTTATGTTTGAAGCCTGAAATGTGACAAAATGTTGAAAGGTTCAATACTTTTGCAAGGCACTGTACCTATACATATCTATACATCCTTTATATTATATGTGTTCCTTGGTGTATACAGTCTAAAGGAGAGCCCATAGAGGCTGGTGGTGTCTGTTAAGCTGTAGCTGCAGTAGTGCATTGATAACATGAATGGATTTCCAATTTGGACAATATTCTGTGGTGAAGAAATGTCCTAAAGAGTCTGATGTAAAAAATTAAGTGCGTCTCTTCAGTTTATACAGTACAGTAAAAATATACAAATGTGTACAGTAGTGTAATCTCCCATTCTTCCAGGAGGTAGTGCTGTAGTCATGTTGAGCAAAGACCGTTTCAACTCTTCCAGAAATCATTTTTGAATCTTGGGTGAGCTGTGTCCACCAGCCCTCTATTTCCTAGCTTTGAAAATACTCTTAAAAATACTTGCAGATTTGTGTTCAACAGAAAATTTTGATTCTAAAGGTTATGTTCTCTCTTATTAGACGAAAGTAACTTGGTAAGAAATAACTCTTCTCACAAACGTTGTTGCCCAGTAAAAAAAAAAATCTATTTAATTCAACCTATTCTTGCACAGCCCTAAATCAAGTATGAATATTTGTTTTAAAGCTGTTTAGTCTCTCAATTGCTTTTGTTTTGTGAAATTTCGCTGGAGTTTTCAGTTCATTTACACTGTTCTCAAACAAAACGGGTTTTAAATGAAACCAGGCACAAAAATATAAGAAATCATCCTGAATGGAGTTATTTCTAGCTGAATGTGTCCCTGGTAGAAAGATTCTGGCAACAAAAGTGAGACTAATTGACTTTATTAGACTACCAACTACACATTACATACAGTCACGTTTTACATGTATGGATTTGATTTACTCCCCCCTAGACTGCCACCTTAACGTGGTGGGGGAGTTTGAGTACTCGGATGATCCTGGGAGCTATGCTGTCTGGGGCTTCATGCCCCTGGTAGGGCCTCCCATGGCAGACAGGTCTCGGGTGACGAGTCAGACAAAGAGCAGTCCAGAAGACACCATGGACAGCACTCATACGAAACCAGTGACGTCGCCCGGCATGGCGCAGCCGGGGCCCCACCCTGGAGCCAAGCCTGGGGTCGGGGCTCGTAGGCGAGCGCCTGGTGGCCGGGCCTTAGCCCACGGGGCCCGGCCAGGCTCAGCCCGAATGGACGACGTGGGCAGTCCCTCCTGTGGGCCCACCACCTGCAGAGGGGTCCGTGGTGGCATGGTGCAGAGAGGACTGGGCAGCAGTCGAAGGCGGAGACCTCGACGACCCAGTCCGCACACACAACAGCTGGCTCTCGGGACGTGGAACGTCACCTCACTGGGGGGGAAGGAGCCCGAGCTTGTGGGGGAGGTTGAGCGATACCGACTAGAGATAGTCGGCCTCACCTCCACACACAGCTTGGGCTCTGGAACCCAACTCCTTGAGAGGGGTTGGACGCTCCACTTTTCTGGTGTTTCCCGCGGGGAGAGGCGGCGAGCTGGGGTGGCCATACTCATTGCCCCCCATCTCAGCCGCCACGTGTTGGAGTTCTCCCCGGTGAATGAGAGGGTCGCGTCCCTCCGCCTCCGGGTGGGGGACAAGTCTCTCACTGTTGTGACGGCCTACGGGCCTAACAGCAGTGCAGAGTACCCGGCCTTCTTGGAGTCCTTGGGAGGGGTACTGGACGGTGCACCGCCCGGGGACTCCGTTATTCACCTGGGGGACTTCAACGCCCATGTGGGAAACGCCAGTGACACTTGGAGAGGGGTGATCGGGAAGAGCGGCCCCCCTGATCTGAACCCGAGCGGTGTTCAGTTGTTGGACTTCTGTGCCAGTCACAGTTTGTCCATCACGAACACCATGTTCGAGCACAAGGGTGTCCACCAGTGCACGTGGCACCAGGACACCCTAGGCCGGAGGTCGATGATCGACTTTGTTGTCGTATCATCTGACCTTCGACCGCGTGTCTCGGACACTCGGGTAAAGAGAGGGGCGGAGCTGTCAACCGATCATCACCTGGTCGTGAGTTGGATCCGCTGGCAGGGGAAGAAGCTGGTCAGACCTGGCAGACCCAAGCGTATAGTGAGGGTCTGCTGGGAACGTCTCGCTGAGCCCCCTGTCAGACGGACTTTCAACTCACACCTCCGGGAGAGTTTCTCCCAGGTCCCGGTGGAGGAGGGGGACATGGAGTCCGAGTGGACCATGTTCTCTGCCTCAATCGCCGATGCGGCGGCCCGTAGCTGTGGTCGCAAGGTCTCTGGTGCTGGTCCCGGCGGCAACCCCCGAACCCGGTGGTGGACACCGGCAGTAAGGGAAGCTGTCAGGCTGAAGGAGTCCTATCGAGCCATGATGGTTCGGGGGACTCCTGAGGCAGCTGTCCAGTACCGGCAGGCCAAGCGTGCCGCGGCCCGGGCCGTTGCAGAGGCAAAAACCCGGGACTGGGAGGAGTTCGGAGAGTCCATGGAGCATGACTATCGGTCGGCCTCAAAGAAATTCTGGCAAACCGTCCGGCGCCTCAGGAGGGGGAAGCAGTTCTTTGCCAACACCATGTACGGTGCGGGTGGAGAGCTGCTGACCTCGACGGGGGATATTGTCGGGCGGTGGAAGGAATACTTTGAGGTTCTCCTCAATCCCCCCGTCACGTCCTCTGTCTCAGAGGCAGAGGCTGAGGATGCTGGGGCGGATACATCCATCTCCCTGGCTGAGGTCACCAAGGTGGTTGGTAGCCTCCATGGTGGCAAGGCTCCGGGTGTGGATGAGATCCGCCCTGGTTATCTAAAGTCTCTGGATGTTGTAGGACTGTCTTGGCTGACACGTCTCTGCAACATCGCGTGGCGATCGGGGGCGGTGCCAATGGAGTGGCAGACCGGGGTGGTGGTCCCTCTCTATAAGAAGGGGGACCGGAGGGTGTGTTCCAATTATCGTGGGATCACACTCCTCAGCCTCCCCGGTAAGGTCTACTCCAAGGTACTGGAGAGGAGGCTACGGCCGATGGTCGAATCTCGGATCCAGGAGGAGCAGTGTGGTTTTCGTCCCGGTCGCGGAACACTGGACCAGCTCTATACTCTCCATCGGATACTCGAGGGTTCATGGGAGTTCGCCCAACCTGTCCACATGTGCTTTGTGGATTTGGAGAAGGCGTTCGACTGTGTTCCCCGGGGTGTCCTTTGGGGGGTTCTCCGGGAGTACGGGGTCGGGGGTCCTCTGCTGAGGGCCATCCGGTCCCTGTATGACCGGAGCCAGAGCTGTGTTCGCATTGCCGGCAGTAAGTCAGACCTGTTCCCGGTGAATGTTGGCCTCCGACAGGGCTGCCCTTTGTCACCGGTTCTGTTCACTGTATTTATGGACAGAATATCTAGGCGCAGCCAGGGGTCGGAGGGGGTCCGGTTCGGGGACCACAGGATTTCATCTCTGCTGTTTGCGGACGATGTTGTCCTGTTGGCTCCAACGAACCAGGACCTGCAGCATTCACTGGGATGGTTTTCAGCCGAGTGTGAAGCGGCTGGGATGAGAATCAGCACCTCCAAATCTGAGGCCATGGTGCTTGGCCGGAAAAAGGTGCCCTGCCCTCTTCAGATGGGTGGAGAGGTCCTTCCTCAAGTGGAGGAGTTCAAGTATCTCGGGGTCTTGTTCACGAGTGAGGGAAGAATGGAGCGTGAGATTGACAGGCGGATCGGTGCAGCGTGCGCAGTGATGCGGTCGCTGTATCGGACCGTTGTGGTAAAGAGGGAGCTGAGCCGAAAGGCAAAGCTCTCGATTTACCGGTCAATCTTCGTTCCCTCCCTCACCTATGGTCATGAGCTTTGGGTAATGACCGAAAGAACGAGATCGCGGATACAAGCGGTCGAAATGAGCTTCCTCCGCAGAGTGGCTGGGCGCTCCCTTAGAGATAGGGTGAGGAGCTCAGTCACACGGGAGGAGCTCGGAGTAGAGCCGCTGCTTCTCCACGTCGAGAGGAACCAGTTGAGGTGGCTCGGGCATCTGTTCCGGATGCCTCCTGGACGCCTCCCTGGGGAGGTGTTCCGGGCACGTCCCACCGGGAGGAGGCCCCGCGGAAGACCTAGGACACGCTGGAGGGACTATGTCTCTCAGCTGGCCTGGGAACGCCTTGGGGTCCCCCCGGACGAGCTGGAGGAAGTGTGTGTGGATAGGGAAGTCTGGGCGTCTCTGCTTAGACTGCTGCCCCCGCGACCCGGCAACGGATAAAGCGGAAGAAAATGGATGGATGGATGGATGGATTTGATTTATATTTGTTTGTTTTTGTACACACACAAAAAAGTCACGTCAAAATATGTAAATTTGCGATTGGTCATTAGTATAGTGTGTGCATATATAATGTCAGTGTCAGTGGTGGTATGTAATGTTTCATAAAGGATGTCATAAATGCTTTCCTCCAGCAGGTGGCATCACGAGCCCATTCAGAGCCCATCCAGTAGCGACAGGAACTTTCTCTTGTTGACCCAAAGACTTTATCACGGTTTTTGACGTCTAACCCATGGCTCTGACCCAGCTTTATGCAGATGCAGCACAGAAATGGGTCACTGTGTTCTCCTTTCATCCATTTCCATGTTTAACCTGTGAGTTATTACACCATGACACTGCGATAAAGTAAGAGATTAGATTAGTCCAGTCCAGACCTGGGACTTTCTGCTCACACTGCTGCCCTTAGACCTGGTTCATGATGATGATGTGGAGGAAAATGTATGGATAAAAGCATATCTGTAAAGGATTTTGAACAAAAACTCTCTTGTCTTATTTGACGAGTACATATCTCCAGAATGATTGACAATTAGGAGGACCAATATCTCAATGTGTAAATATTGTAACGTGCCACAGCAGTGTTCCGTTTGTCAGGTTTATTGTTATGTTGACTGTTAAGTGTTGCACCATGACTGAGCTCACCATGTTAATTGATAGGGTCCTATGCTTTCAGTGTGTTAGGAGTCTAATGTTAAAACTGCAATAAAACTGCCTTCTCGGGGTCTTGCGGTGTATGTGGCACGAGTTGAGCAAAGAAACTCTATCTCCCGTGACTTATTTGACTAAAACGTCACATTGGTGTCAGAAGTGGGATAATTCCCATAAAAAGTGAAGAAATGGAGAGAGAGATTGAAGAGCTGGAACGCGCAGTACTGGAAAACTGCCGTCTTCTTGAGGAGGTTGAAGGAGCCAAGCCCAAGAGATTTCAGGAGAGACATGCTGCAGATGGGTACAGTACTGCAAGGCCACAGCGCCCTCTGGAGGCTGGTTGGACTCCTCCACACTCCGCTTCAGAGAACCAGAGCACAGAGAGACCACAGCGCCCCCTGGAGGCTGGTAGGACTAGTCCACACCACACTTCAAGTAAACAGACCATATTGAGGCCACGACGCCCCCTGGAGGCTGTCAGGAAAGATATAAGCTCTCAAACAGGCAACATAGAGCAGAATGTCCAAGTGAATGACTTACTAGGGGGGGGCTCAGCACATACTCAGAGGCAAACTGTGATAACACATGCCCCAAGACAGATGATTACACCAAAGACCCCTGCTAAACTACCCAAGTACAGTGGAACCACACCAGTAGAGCCCTTCCTTGCCCAAGTTAGACTAGCATCATGGCATAGTGGCTGGAGCGACGATGAAACTGCCACCCACCTTGCCTTGGCATTAGAAGGTGTCGCCCTTCAAATTCTCCTTGACTTGTCCCTAGAGGATCAGCAAGATTTACGGGCCCTGATGATTGGTCTCGAACGGCGCTTTGGAAAGCGCCTGCATGCGGAAGAGAGCAGGGAGCAGCTGAGTGGCCTATATCGGAAGGAAGGGGAAAACTTGGGTACCTTCGCGGCCAATATACAATTCCATACCCAGCGTGGTTACCCACAGTTTCCAGTTGCTGCACGTGACAAACTCGCACTTCATGCATTTCTCCAAGGTCTTACCCCAGAAAGGCTACGTCAATATGTGCGTCTTGCTCGCCCTCGCTGCCTGAATGAAGCTCTCCAGGAAGCTGAACGGGCGGAGATAGTGCTCTCCACACGGCCAAACCTGGGAAGGGCCACAAATATGCTGCAGCGAGTTCGCCATGTGGATTATGAAGAAGTCGGAGTTGAAGAAGTTTATCAGCTCCGTACTCCAGCCCCCAGGGGGCGTCGCAGAACTGCCACCGATCGCTGTTTTCGCTGTGATGAACCCGGACACTTAGCTCGAAACTGCCCTGCACCATCCCCAAAAGCTAGGGAGCCACAGCCAACGGGAAACGATCGGGGGGTGGAGTAGAGAGGAAGACCCCACCCCAAAAACCTGCACCTCTACAAGGACAATGCACTGTGGTGGGCCAACCTGGTTGCTCAAAAGGACTGTACTTGGATTGCGTTGTAGATGGCCAACCCTGTCGTGCACTGATTGATACAGGGTCCACTATCTCGCTCGTACAGCCAGGAGTACTCCCTGGTACAACAGGCCCACTTTCCACCTCCTGGTCACCAACACACATGCAGCTCACCACTGTCACAGGAGAGAGGGCAGGTATGCAAGGAAAAAAAAGTGTGCGGATTGAAGTTCAAGACCAAATGTTGGAACACGAATTCTGGTTAGCGCGAATACAGGACCCTTGTATCATTGGATTAGACTTGTTAGTTCACTGGGGTGCTGTGGTTGACCTTGTGAAGTCGACCCTCACTCTTGGGCCTCTCACAGTTGATCTCCAGCCTGAAAAGCGGACAAGAAAGAGGCAGAGAACCCGGAAAGTCAGTCCAAGGGGGGTGGTTCCAGCGGTGGCGGTCCAGATCCAGGCGGTCCCAGCGGCGGCGGTCCAGGTGGTCCCAGCGGCGGCGGTCCAGGCGGTCCCAGCGGCAACGGTCCAGGCGATCCCAGTGGCGGCGGTCCAGGCGGTCCCAGAAGCGGCTGTCCAGGCGGTCCCAGCGGGGACGGTCCAGGCGGTCCCAGCAGCGGCAGTCCCGGTGGTCCAGGCAGTCGAGGTCCAGGCGGTCCCAGCGGCGGCGGTCCAGGTGGTCCCAGCGGTGACGGTCCAGGCGGTCCCAGAAGCGGCGGTCCAGGCGGTCCCAGCGGCGGTCCAGGCGGTCCCAGCGGCGGCGGTCCGGGTGGTCCAGGCGGTCGAGGTCCAGGCAGACGAGGCCCAGGCGGTCCCAGTGGCGACGGTCCAGGCGGTCCCAGCGGCGGCAGTCCAGGTGGCCGAGGCAGTCGAGGTCCAGGCGGTCCCAGCAGCAGCGGTCCAGGCGGTCCCAGCGGTGACGGACCAGGCAGTCCAGGTCCAGGCGGTCCCAGCAGCGGTGGTCGAGGTCCAGGCGGTCGAGGTCCAGGCAGTCCCAGAACCGGCGGTCCCAGCGGCGGTGGTCCCAGATGTGGCGGTCCCAGCAGTGGCGGTTCCAGCGGTGGTCCCAGCAGCGGTCCAGGCGGCAGATCACCGCTCTCCAACACCGGCTGGCGCTTGCACAGCCAGTCCCCGTGCCATACCACCCCCATCCACGGAGACTGTGAATGCTGTCAAAGAGCTGTGGCAGCGCAGTAGTGAGGGCCTAGATCAGTGTCAAAAAGAGCAGTTGAGACATCTCTTGGACAGGTATGTGGACATCTTTGCCGCTCGAGATGAGGACTGTACACAAACTCGGCTTGTCCAGCACTCTATTGACACTGGTTCGGCCCCCCCAATACGCCTTAGGCCCCATCGGCTCGCCCTTTCAAAGAGACAGTTAGCAGAGGACATGATCCACAAAATGCTTGCGGCTGGAATAATAGAACCATCCAGCAGTCCTTGGGCAGCTCCAGTAGTTCTTGTGCGCAAGAGATTGGGTGGGTGGCGGTTCTGTGTGGATTACCGTCGTCTCAACGCGGTCACAAAGAAGGACTCTTATCCACTACCCCGCATCGACGATGCTCTGGATTACATTAGTGGATCAAGTTGGTTCAGCTCCCTCGACATGCGAAGTGGATATTGGCAGGTGGAGCTCAGCCCCCAGGCCAGGGCAAAGACTGCATTCACATTCGGGCAAGGACTCTGGCAGTTTCGTGTAATGCCATTTGGCCTGTGCAATGCGCCGGCCACGTTCGAGCGTCTCATGGAGCGGGTGCTCGCCGACATTCCTCGCAGCCATTGTGTGGTGTACCTGGATGACCTGCTGGTCCATGCGAGTGATTTCAGCAAAGCTTTGGGCCACCTGAGCGGCGTCTTCAGTGCTATTCGTCACGCTGGTCTGCGGCTGAACCCTGCCAAGTGCCACCTTCTGCAGAGAAAGTAGCGGCTGTCCAGGATTGGCCGATCCCGGTTAACGTACGTGACCTCCGCAGTTTCTTGGGACTGGCGTCCTACTATCGCCGCTTTGTCAGGAACTTTGCCTCTGTCGCAGGGCCCCTACACCGCCTGACGGACAAAGGAAAGCCTTTCGCTTGGACTAACAGCTGTGACACTGCTTTCAACCAGCTAAAAGCAGCCCTCACAGCCGCGCCCATCCTTGCGTACCCGCACGTAGATCTCCCCTATGTGGTGGACACAGACGCTAGTGGCACCGGAATTGGGGCTGTCCTTTCACAGCAGGGAGGCGAAGGAGAGCGAGTAGTGGGGTACTACAGTCGCGCTCTCAGTCGTGAGGAGAGGAACTACTGTGTCACACGCCGAGAGCTGTTAGCCGTAGTGATGGCAGTACACCATTTTCGCCCCTATTTGCACGGCAACAAGTTCCTCCTGCGCACAGATCATGCCTCACTGACCTGGCTTTTAAGTTTCAAGCAGCCAGAGGGACAAGTAGCTCGTTGGCTGGAAGTTCTCCAAACTTACGATTTTGACATTCAACATCGCCCTGGACAACAACACAATAATGCGGATGCCCTGTCACGACGCCCGTGTGTTATAGCAGAGTGTCGTTACTGCGAGCGCCAGGAAGAGCGGGATCGGGACAAGCCGAGGGTTTCCACTGCCACAATTAACCCCCCTGATGACCTGTCTTCAGAACAGCTGCAGCAACAGCAAGAGTCCGATACCACCCTGGCCCTGATCAGGAAGTGGCTGGAACTGCCCAGACGTCCTGAATGGCCGGCAGTCTCCCCCCATGGCACTGATATTAAGGCCTATTACTCTCAGTGGGGAAACATTGAGCTTCGTAACGGCTTGCTGTTCCGGAGGTGGCGGGCTCCAGGGCAGGGCAAAGACATCTTACAGTTATTAGTGCCCCGTTCACTTCAACCTCAGGTCCTTCAGAGTGTGCACGGTTCAATCGGCTCAGGCCACTTTGGCATCTCCAAGACCCTCCATCGGCTTCGGGGACGTTTCTACTGGCCCGGCTGCCGACAGGACGTGGAAATACATGTGCATTGCTGTGATTTGTGCACTGCTCGGAAAGGTCCCACCCAGCGCTCACATGCCCCCCTTCAGCAATACCTGGTCGGGGCTCCAATGGAACGAGTAGGTGTGGATATTCTTGGGCCCTTTCCTGTGACCGATACTGGAAACCGCTACGTCCTAGTAGCCATGGACTATTTTACGAAGTGGCCGGAAGCCTATGCTGTACCAGATCAAAGTGCCGCCACAACAGCTGGAAGACTGGTTGATGAGATGTTCACCCGTTTTGGAGTGCCCTCTGAGCTTCATAGTAGTGACCAGGGGCGGAACTTTGAATCCCAGGTGTTCAGTGAAGTTTGCAGACTGCTCGGAATTAAGAAGACGCGGACAACTCCTCTCCACCCCCAAAGTGACGGTCTAGTGGAGAGGTTTAATCGGACTTTGGCTACCCAACTTGCTATCCTGGTCAGCAAGCACCAGCGTGACTGGGACCGTTATCTTCCCCTCGTCCTCTGGGCCTATCGAACTGCAGTCCAGGAGTCCAGTCAGTGCACCCCAGCTGCTCTCATGTTCGGTCGAGAGCTCCGCACACCCGTGGATCTGGTGTTCGGGAGCCCTCTGGAGCCCGAGATTGCAGGAGGGCACGAGATGGACTATTTCCAAAGACTCAGAGAGCACCTGCGGGTGGTGCATGACTATACTCGCCAAGTTCAAGCCAGTTCCGGGGTACGTCAGAAGAGGGCCTATGACAGTCACTGCCGCGGTCAGCCCTTCCAACCTGGGGACAAAGTGTGGGTTTATTGCCCCGATCGAAAGAAAGGTATCTCTCCTAAGCTGTGCAGTCATTGGAGGGGGCCAGCCGAAGTTGTGGCACGCCTGTCCGACGTGGTATACCGTGTACGCATGCCAAACAAGGGCCGTTTTGTGGTATTGCACAGAGACCGGCTAGCTCCGTACCGCCCCTATGCTCCTGAGACTGTTGGTGAAGTAGACGGATTACTTGTCCAAGCCCCCCAAGTTCATCTGTCTCCCAGACGCCCAATTCGCCAACGTCGTCAACCTGGTCACTTGAGAGACTATGTGTTATGTGATGGGGTTGTCGGGGACGACTAACCCGCTCTGGTGGGGGTTATGTAACGTGCCACAGCAGTGTTCCGTTTGTCAGGTTTATTGTTATGTTGACTGTTAAGTGTTGCACCATGACTGAGCTCACCATGTTAATTGATAGGGTCCTATGCTTTCAGTGTGTTAGGAGTCTAATGTTAAAACTGCAATAAAACTGCCTTCTCGGGGTCTTGCGGTGTATGTGGCACGAGTTGAGCAAAGAAACTCTATCTCCCGTGACTTATTTGACTAAAACGTCACAATATATTTTAGATATGTGTGGGTAATAATGATAATAATACATTTTATTTAAAAATGCCTTTCAAAACACCAAAGCACACTGTACAAACATGGTTAAAAGTGCTTTCTGTATGACGCAAATGGTTTTATTTTTGTATGGCTTTGAATAAAGTATTCAAATCTAATGTTCTCATCGGGCAGCACGGTTTTCGAGTGGATAGCACTCTTGCTTCTCAGCAAGAAGGTTCTGGTTTGGAATCCCAGTCGAAACGGCCTTTCTGAGTGGATTTTGCATGTTCTGTCTGCGTTGGATTACTCCGGGTACTCCGGTTTCCACTACCACTAAAAACATGCACAATAGCTCTGGGTGAATGAGTGTGTGTTTGTGAGTGCGACTGTTGGACAACGGATGGAAATTAGCTCAATCCGGAGTGATGTGTTCATTAACATGTACTGTCCCAACCAAATAAACAATAAATAACAAAACCATCACATTCTATCTCCTTGTGCTTTTCCCCTCAAAGCCCAGTGGTCATCCCTTTGTTATCAAAAGTTTCTCACATGTTTGGATTTTAATTTGCCAGCTAGCTTGATGCTATACCGTACATCCAATCCTTGACTCACATTGATCAACTCATATTGTCTTCCCCGTGTTCAAACAAACCCAGGGGCCTTTGACCACAGCAGAGCAGAGCAAACACGAGCACCATCGTCCCCCAGCCTCCTCCCAGTGCGCTGCAGCTCGCCTCATCCTCCCCATTGGTCAGAGGGACTCAGAACACACAGGTCGCCCCTGCTCAGCCACTATTCCTTGGCAAAAGTTGGGCAAAGAGATGAATGTTGTGTTTCTGTTTATAAAAATGTTAAAACTGTGATAAAATAATCCATAATTCGTTCCCATTTCTTAAAACTATAAATGTTTGTAGTTTGGCCTCATTGATGCCTTTGATCAGCTTTGGGATGGGATGAGTTCTATATTTATTTTTTATTTCTTTAAACAATCAACACCACTGCATGGGTATGGAAACTTTCAAGCACAAGTAATCCACATCATCTGCGATCATCTGGACACTAAACCTGGACTAGAACAGGCCAACGCCAAGTCCTCAAAACAAAAAAGTGAGAAGAATATTAACAATAATAATGCATTGGTTTTATTTAGCGCTTGCAAAACGCTTCACATGTCATTATTCTTTCACTCCATACACGGTGGTGACAAACTACTGCTGTAGCCACAACTGCCCTGAGGCACACTGACAGATACTTAACACAATGGATGTTACCACGCTTTAGCAATATCACTTACTGCTAAAACATGATTTAAGGCCGATCAGTCGTCGATATGAAATTCTGATCCGCTTACTTTGAGTTGAGCAGCACCGCAGTAACCACCCGTATCGTTTAAAAATAGGTTCTAATCCTACTTTATACATGTTGCATAAGTTGTGAGGTCAGAGAAAGGTTTCTATGGCTGGAAATAGAGACCTAACAGTCATCATTACTGATCATTTTACTTGCATGCTGTTCACAAGAGTCCAGCTGTCCTCGTCATACAGTCTGAAAAGCCTCGTCTGTCTGTTGCCCTGGTTTTTTTCTTGGTTTTTATTTAGCTACAGTAATATACAGTATAGCAATTCTCATAAAAAATACAGAAATGGTATAATACAAATTCACAGTACACACACATACACACACACAGGACAAAATTAGCTAGAAACAAACTTATTTTTGCTGATGAAAGTAGACAGTCCAGTCTTTCAGAATCTGGTTTCATATTTCACATAGTCATAGCTCATAATATTCTGTGGGTCTTGAGAATCAGTGAAATCGTCAGAAGCGGCTGGCAGTCAATGAGTTAATGGCAACAGTAAAATAAGTAATTTCTCTCTAAACATTTCTATATTACGCATTAAACATTTAACTTTCAAATATTATAAATTCAGGTGAAGAAAAGAAAAAATACCACTCAAAAAAACACACATATGGAGACTACTGAAGCGTGGCTTGTTTCTTTATTGTTTTACTGGGATGACCTTTTTTATTGACACGATCCAGGCAGGGGGTGAGTGTTGCTATGGCGATGAAAGAAGGATTTGTTTCACATTTGATGATGAAAAACCAAAGCTATTCTTTTTCACGTTCACAACCTTTAATCATTCTTTATAAAGTCAATCTCTATCCAAGAGAGGACTTTCACAAAAAACTTTTTTGTGCATATGCTCCATTGATCCATCCATTTTCTTCCGCTCTACCCTATGCTCCTCCCGTGTGACCGATCTCTTTCTCTTTCAAAGCTCATTTTTTTTCAGTTTCACAATTGTGTCTTAAACCTGTTCACAGAAATTATTTGAACATGGGTTGATTTGTTGAGTCAATCTTTAAAGTGATAAATTCTGTAAATGTCAGTATATTTTTCTACTTAATATGCAGAGTTATGGTGAAAAACAATTTAAACCAGGGCTGCATCAGAAAAACACCTCCTTCCCTGTTCTTCCGTGTCCTCCCTTCTCCTTATTCTAATGAACAGACTTGATGTCAATTTCAATAGAGCTGTGATTATTCTAAAATAATCTGTTTTTGGACAATGGGCTGTAGTATAATTGTTCTGGTTAATAATAGTTCAAACACAAAATCTTCTGAAAACTGTGCAGAAAGAGTGTCTCTTAAGTCACTAAAATGTCTTACTTAAGCAGAGTTTCCTAACTGTCAAACCTCAAAACTTTAACCCAGTCAAATCCATGTAACCAGTTTCTCGCTATGAAAACACTTTATCACTGGTTTCAGCTCTCTGCCCAAAGCGTCAAATAGTGACTCACAGGGCTCTTTCTACTTTTGCAAAAGATTGTATTTCTTCTGGTGATTTCGGATGCAACCAAAGTGTTCGCACCGCCAAAATAAAACTCGCGGTCTCTCCTCATATTCAACGCCAGAGCCGTCATTTTGACTGCTCCCACTCAACTTTAATGGAATTCTGAGAACTTAGAAAGTAAAAGAAAGTAATTTATATCTTATGTATCGGTATTTGTATCTTAGGTGCATATTATTATAACTGTATCGTTATAATAAAAGTAATAACATGTAACTAAAATAGAGCAAATACAGAAAAGAACAGTTCATTGAATAGCTAAATGCTAATTGCTGCCTATAAACAGTGTGTTGCTATGGTAACTTGCTCTGAGATTGAAAGAAAGAACTCCACAATTCAGAAAAATAACACAATTTATTAATAATGAAATAGAAATAAACTATAAACACAGAAAAAAGTCACACAGTTATGAAGAGCAAACATGTACATAGGATGAGTGATTACGCTTCCAAAACTCAAACCCGGAGTTCTAACCCAAGCCTTTATTTTGTAACGGTCCGCGGTGTTTCTATCCCACTTCCGCTCAGCCTCCCGGGAACTTGACACCATGCCAGATACTCAGAGCCGCTCCGTGTGCATCGGGCTGTCACATCAGACCAACACGCGTGTGGAGAGGAGCAGGAGGCCGAGCTGACCTGTGCCCACTCCCCCGGACACCTCACCCTCTGCCCGGGCCACACGTCAGCCCTCTCCCGCTGCAGACTCTTCCAACACCGGGACCTCTGACTGTAGCAGCGGCATGGAGCGTCACTGAACCGGGTGCGTAGTGTGCGAGCAATATACACGACTCTAAGTTCAATTTAGTACGTGAGATGGCATTTTTTTTTAAAGTAATATTGATGATTATTATGAACACGAGATCCATTAATTTACTGATGTTTTTTGCCATCCTATTTATTGCATGGGATTTATGATGATTTATTAAAGAGAAGTGTGTTGGTTAAAGAAATTTCAACTTTTTAGTTGAAAAATAAAAGTCACAGCATTATGTTTGTTTTATCCAATATAATTACTTACTTTCTTCTCCACAAACCTGAAACTTGCTTGTTTTTATAGATATGTGGTGGGATTAAATGTAACTAGTGTAAAGACCTACTGTACTGTATGTCTACTCCTACTTTATTCTGTTGTGTTTATGCGTTAGTATCTGCTACCGTATCTTAGCAACCTACCCACAAAACGACAGTCTCTGGTAAAAAAAAAGCTTGGTAACCATGACAACCTTCCAGCAGCCAATCGCTGTTGATTAGAACACATTAGTACCAGCTCAGCCTGGATAGAACCAGAGAAAATCAGGTACCAAAAAGTACTCGTAATCGTGGTAAGGGTAGAATAGGGTAGGGCTTGTCGAAACGGGGCCTTTTTGTTTTCATGGCAAATGTTTAAAAGTATTTGCATTTCCATTGAATCATACATCTGCAAGTTAATATTTGATATAGTAGTTAATGTCTAATCATTGGTTTAAACTCCCTGTTACATGCGACATTCTGAAACTGTCCTAATTTCTCTTTATTTTGAAACTTGTATAGTTGACTTATTGTATAAAAATAACAATGGAATAAACACGTAATATGAGTTTTTTCGTTTGCATATTCAGACCCATGTAAAACTGGGGTACATAACTTTTTTTAAGATAAGAGATCCTTAAACATTTTTCCAAACATGTGGAAATTGCAATGTTGCATCACAACTCTTCTCTAACTCTACCAAAAATTAAAAATAAAATTAATATTTCTCATAAATAATACTTAACATGCTGTCTTAATTTTAATAGAAAAACGTTTCTCTTTCTTACATACATGTTAGAAAGTGCCTTGTGAGTCACTACTTGATAGCCTGGCCATAGCCATCCGTACACTCCGTTCAATCATCATTTCACTGCATGTAACGTCTGGGTCTAGTCCCTACAATCGGTTGAATTTTGACCGACCATTCAGAGAGCGCGGACGGCAGGTGTTGTAGTTTGTTGTGGGTGATGTCAAGAGTTTGCGTCGAGCAGGCAGGTTGTAGTTTGGTAATGGCAAAAAATGCGATAGTAAAGTAATCCGGTCTGGTTCTATCAAGAAATTGAACCAGGAGCAAGGGTAATGTTTAGCAAATGTAATCGCTGAAAAAAATTGTGGCGCTACTCCCCACGGGCTCTGTTTGCGGCAAAGGAGATGGCTAGGCTAAATGCTAAATGCTAACAACAGACTCGGGCGCATTACATACGTCACGGTAAACTCAGATCCAATCGTTTCAATCTGTAAAAGGAGTTAACCCCTCCCACCTGTAAACGGAGCTCAATGGAGCACCTCCAGACCATAGTATGAAATGTAATTTGTACTATGGTGTGGTACGACCAGGCTAACTACTTGACTCTTTGGGCTGAAAGCTGATTGGCTGAGTGAGGGTGGTCCTCTATTTCTCACCTTTCAGTCTGATCTTGATGTGACCGAGGCCTTGAATGAAGAGCACACAACACAAGATAAATGAACAATAAAGAGGCAAGTATCTCTAGCTCTAGCATAATAAGGAAGCAAATCTAAAATCTCTAACATTGGCATAACGAAGAAGAAAACAATCAAACTAAAAGTAGCTATACGCCCCTAACACGTCTCTCTATTGCAGACTACTTCCCATCTCGCCCCTTAAGCCTCTCACGCTCGGTCCGAAGACATGGGTGGGAGCCTGGGCTGCCACCGCTCCATCCCCAGGGACCCCTCGGACTTCAGCCGGGGAAAACGCAAGTACAGCGCGGCCTGCAACTTCAGCAACGTCATGGTGAACCAAGAACGCCTCAACATCAACACGGGCACGGAGGAAGAGCTCATGACTTTACCCGGGGTCAACCGCCTCGTCGCGCAAAACATCGTGGAATACCGGGACTGCATCGGCGGCTTCAAGAAGGTGGAGGACTTGGCTCTGGTCAGTGGGATTGGGGCGACGAAACTGGAGGCAATCAAACTGGAAATATGCGTGTCGAGCCGCACTAGCTCCTCGCAACATTCGCCCTCTTCCATCCGCAAAGACTTTGATTATCAATCGTGCAACGGAATCAACGTCAACACGGCAACTCCCGCGCAACTCATGAGCGTCAAGGGCGTCACGGAGAAGATCGCCAAGAACATTGTCGCTTTCAGGACGGAGAATGGACCGTTTAAGACTATCGAGGATCTGGTGAGGGTCGCTAACGTCAACAGTGCGCTATTGGATAAGATTCGGTTCCAGGTTTTCGTGCAACGCTCGCGGGCCGCCTCCACCAACACCAACGGAGGCCTGACCTTCACCACCAAGTCGCACCCTAGTCCCACCTCGTTCAGCCTAAAGAGCGAGGAGCTGGACCTGCCGCTCGGAGGGCCCACGCAGATCCCGTCTTTCAGGCCCAAAGTAGAGGCTCCGTGCGGGACCAAGGAGGGGAGACCGGTGCTGAGGCTGGCCACCTGGAGTTTGCAGGACTGCTCCAGCGACAAGGCCAACAACCCGGGAGTCAGGGAGGTGCTGTGCATGACCCTGCTGGAGAACCAGTGAGTAGATTTTGGTACAATTTGTGGTAGAGGGCTGTTGCTTTTCAAATTGTGAAGAGGTTTTTTTAATTCAATTGAGTTTATTTTCATATAGCCCTAAATCACAACAGAGGGAGGACTTTACAAAACGATCGAATTCGCCAACAGAGATCAGAGAATCAAACAGTTCAAACACGGTAAAGGCAACGATAAAAAACACGCACATTGGTCCATAAGGGGCAGATGACCAATGTCCATCAATGTTGAAATGACCAGGCGCTTGCATTCACAGTTAGACCCATACCCACAGGTTCCTGATTGGACGCAATTAATTTGAACCCTTGATAGACAGCTGTGACCCCTGTCCCCATTGGTCAAACTATTAACCTCCAAAAAATCTGGCTGACTGTTTTCAATATATGTTTTATGAACGAGTACTTAATATAGATGATACTAAAGAATCATATTGTCAAAAGTAATACAATTTTTAAGTTTTGGATATCATCTTTAATCACAGTTATTTCACAAAAGCCTCTTGAAATTGTGAAAATGTGTTGCTCATGTTTGACCTTTGAGAGAAAGATAAAAATTACTTATTTATATGTGATTATACTTGTTTGCTTCCCTGTTGAAAAAAAGGTAGCACAGCTATAGAAATATATGACTTAACGACTAATGATTTACCCTGTACCTTTTATCAGTTCTGTTTTTTCTTCTGTGGTATTTCAAATGAAAATCTCTCTGGACCAAATCCTCATGTAGATGGGGAACAGATCAGATACATTGTTTTTTTTTCCTTAATTAAACTCTAATCCTCTTTCTGTAATGGTACATTTCTTTAACCTTGACTATTGAAAGTAGAAAAGCCCTTTTTAAAATGCAGAGACCATTCCCCAACGCTGGATGAAAAGTACAGACATACAATCACATAGTTCTGCTCTTTGCCGTCGTATAAAACACTAGTCTTTTTCTTCTAAAGCATAAACTCAACTCTGTCTTTGTTTAACATTTTACAGAGTGGAAAATCTCTTCACACTTTATAACTTTGACGCAGAGCGATTCTGGGACGGTCCTTTTTTAGAAATCAGGACAAACTCTCCTAAACTTTAAAAAATGGTCCACTGTGCTGCTGGTTCCTCTTCAGAGTTCTTCTATTTATCAGACAAACAAAGAAGAAAGTAGTTGTAGTAAGAAGTCACACACACTTGACACAAGAACTACACAACAAGACACAGGCCCAAACTCTCTCTGACCATACACCTCCCTCTACTTGCTCTTCAGCGCTTCCTTCTTGAACAGCTTCTTTACACATGTTTTGAATTCATCTGTCGTTGTTCCACTGAGTCACTCCTTGCACAGAGACACACATTGATTTTTGGTAGTTCACCAGTACAGACCAAAAGTTTGGACACACTTTCTCATTCTATAAGTTTCCCTTCTTTTCAGGACTATTGACTGTAGATTCACACCCAGGCTGTGTAAGGGCTGTTTGACCAATAAGGAGAGTGATGGGTGCTGGGCCTGATGACCTGGCCTCCACAGTCACCGGACCTGAACCCAATCCAGATGGTTTTGGGGTGAGCTGGACCACAGAGTGAAGGTGAAAGGACCAACAAGTGCTAAGCATCTCTGGGAACTCCTTCAAGACTGTTGAAGACCATTTCAGGTCACTAACTCTTGAAGCTCATCAAGAGAATGCCAAGAGTGTGCGAAGCAGTGATCAGAGCAAAAGGTGCTACTTTGAAGAACCAAGAATATAAGACATATTTTCCGTTGTTTCAAACTTTTTTTAGTAAGTACATAATTCCACATGAGTTAATTGTAGTTTTGATTTCTTCAGTGTGAATCTACAATTTTCATAATCATGAAAATAAACTCTTTTAATGAGAAGGTGTGTTCAAACTTTTGGTCTGTACTGTACATTTAGGCATATATAAGCTTTGGCCTCCTCTTAAACTGTCACTGTGGTGAGCATCTCTGTCGCGAAGTAGATTTTGCACATGAGGTGGCAGAGAGTTTTCAGAGGCCCTGAATATTATTTGAGCAGTTTTATAGTAAATCAGGTCCTGAAGCTTAAGTTCTTTCAATTCTATAAACAATGGATCACGTTGCAAAAAAGGCCATTAGGATTGTGTCTAAAGTCTGTAAATGGGATTGTTTACAGTTTCAACACAACATATGACATAATGAAAGAATGATACAATAGAAGTAGAGCATTTGTGTTCAGTGATAGATGATAGATCTTTTCATCATTCCAACACCTTTTGCCACTTTTTTCCTAAAGTAAAGTGGGGTTCCTGTGAAATCTATTCATCCAATACCACTCGTAAGAATTTTTTTTTTCACTTTCTCAATAGATACATCATCAATAATTAACCTGACCGGTATGTTACTTTTCTGATTTCCAAATAGCATAATTTTGGTGTATTTTTTGGTTAAGTGACAATTTATTTTTTATTAAACCTAGTTTTTAATTTGTTAATTTCCGCAGTAAGAGGATAAAAGTTGCTCCAGGCACTCACCTGAACATATAATATTTGTGTCGTTTGCAAAGAGAATACAAATAATCAGTTTTGATATTTTACATAATTCATTAGTATACATTCTAAATAAAGTTGGTACTCCACAATGTACAGTATGTCCATATAATCAGATTTATGTTGGTCAATTTGTAGAATCTGTTTTCTTTGCATCAAATAGCTCTATAGAGATTTTTTTTGCCAATCCCCTAATACCAGAGTTTTCCAATTTATCAATTGAAATATTGGTAATTGGTGAAACAATGTTTGTCTCCTGCTTTGAAAATTTGGATTACTTTGGCCATATTCCTTTTGGAAAGACAGTCTCAGAGTTTAAAAGACAAGTTACAGATTTGTGTGAAAGGTTTAACAATTTCTTTAGCTACATGTTATGTGCAATACTCATATTAATGCTGTTAATATCTGTTTTGTTCTTCCATTTATTAATAATATTTAGGACTTCTCTCTCATCAGTGGGAGTGAGGAACTTTGGATAATTTAGATTTTATGTCAATGAATCCCTCCAATGGTTCATTGCTTAATAGCATTTAACCTTTAGATTGATTGGATTTATTTCAAGCTTGTAAACAGGAATTAATTATAGATTTTACAGCAATTACATATTATACATGATAGAAACGTACATGCATTCAGACATTTAAGGCTTTCCTTTTTTCACTTCTGTCAACCCTCATTTATCAGTTCTGTTTTTTCTACTGAGGCAGTGTAAATGAAAAACTGTCCAGGCCAGTGTGAAGCTTAATCACTTTGAATTGAACAGAAATCAATGAACTGTGTTTAATTGACTATGGGGCTCTGCGTATGTCGTGACTGTGGTCTTTCTTGACGTGACTTTGACTCCATGAGCCGAAGAGCAAAGATACACTGTAGCTTTAACGTCAACAAGCTTCTATTTCAGCCTTAATATTGACCTGGATCATATGACTTTGTCTGCTTGGTCGTATTGAGAGGAGCAGGAGCGGTTCACAGTAGGGTGTGTCCTCTTTGGCACCAGCCGACGCCAGTTGTGTGGTTTTGGCTGTCGATTGTTCGGCTCACGTTGTTCGAGGGTGTGAGAAGGGACGGGACCTGAAACTATAATAGCATGTGGTGTTAACTATATATAATAACACTCTTTGAAGATTTTTGAGTTGTCTTTTCTTTTTACTGCATTTAGAAAGATGACATTTTCTCATTCACATGGAGTAATTTCACAGTTGACTTTTTATTTGGTTGCGTTGCTCAAGTATTTTTTGGCACAAATGAAATCAAACACTGCTGCTTGCTCAATTCTGTTCAAATCGGTTTGTTTTTGTTTGGCTCTAAATCTCAACAGCAGAGGACTTTACAAAGTTCTTCAACAGATGAGAGAATCAAACTGTTCAAACACAGGAAATTCTATTATAACAATTTACGCATAAGAGCCATCGGTCCATAGGGAGCGGGATGACCACTGACCACAAATGTCCTTAAATCTCCTGCATCATCACTGTCCTTTGACCCTCCTGCATTGGCAAGGAACGACTCCAAAAAAAACGCCCAGTGGGAAACCTTCAATCAAATTTATTTATAAAGCACAATTTATACAGTGTAACCCAAAGTGCTTCACAAGCAAAAAAACAGTGTATATACATATAAAATATTGTAATAAAAAGTTAAAAGTTACGAACATTTAAAAAATAAATACTTCAGATTAGTCATATGCATACCTGAATAAGACAGTTTTCAGCCTGGACTTAAACATTGCCAGGGCAGAGGCCTGTCTCACCAGCTCAGGGAGACTGTTCCAAATTCTGGCTGCATAAATTTGAAATGCCGCCTCCCCATGTCCAGTCCTGACCCTAGGCACCAGCAGGAGGCCAGTCCCTGTGCTCCGCAGTGTCCTAGCCGGCTCATATGGCGCTAACATTTCTCGAATATACTGTGGTGCGAGGCCATGAAGAGACTTATACACAAGTAGAGCTGCTTTAAAATCAACTCTCTGAGCCACAGGAAGCCAGTGCAGAGACTTAAGAACTGGACTAATGTGGTCGTACTTCCTGGTTCCAGTCAGGACTCGAGCTGCTGCATTTTGGATGTACTGCAGCTGCTTTACAGCCTGTTTGGAGAGACCTGTGAGCAGGCCATTACAGTAGTCTAACCTACTGGAGACAAAAGCATGGATAAGTCTTTCTAAGTCAGGTTTAGACACAATACCTTTGATTCTGGAAATGTTTTTTAAATGATAAAAAGCCACTGATGTTATTGAATTTATGTGCCGCTGAAAATTCAGCTCTGTGTCCAGGACTACCCCAAGATTTCTAACCTGATTTACAGGTTTCAGGGAGAGAGACTGCAGGTAACTGGTGACAGTTTCTCTTTGCTTCTGAGGTCCAAAGACAATTGTTTCTGTTTTATCCGAATTAAGTTGCAGAAAATTGCTTTGCATCCACACACCGATTTGCTGGATACAATGGCAGAGTGAGTCCAATGGTCCATATTCTCCTGAAGTTAGTGAGACGT